AGATACTGTGCAGGGAAGTGTACAAAACCATGAAGTAGGCAAACGTGCAGTATAACCTGCCCCCATGAAGGTACTGTCACTTTTATGAAGAATTCAGGAGACCAAAGGATATGGCCCAACTGGTTTACTGATTAAGAATCTCTGAATCTTGCTAAGATCTTAGCTTCAAACACATCCTGTGGCAATGAATTCCAGCCTATGTTCATGTTGTGCAAAAACAACCAATTTGCTCATATATGACACATAGCTTTCCCAAAAAATTAGCCACTGGAAACGGGGTATCTAATGTGAGGAAATGTAGGGAACAGAGAAACTAATCATGAAGGAGCCAAGTTGTTTATCCCCTCTTCTTGAGCCAGGTGGGCAAACAGCAGATGGAGACAAGAGCTGAGCAGTTCAGTTCCAGCAGAATCGGGCCTGAACAGATATGAGAGCGAAATTGCACGGCCCCTCTTCTTGAAGCCAGGTGGGAAGCCAGCAGGACCTGCTGGAGCCAAACAGCCCAAGCCCCTCCTCCTGAGGTGGGTGGGCTCTCAGCTGACTCAGCAGGTGCTGCTAGCCATCTACCAGCCTCAGGAAGAGGGGTCCGGCAGTTTGGCTCCAGCAGGATCAGGCCCTCAGCTGATATGAAAGAAGTTTCTGGCTGCCCATTCAGCTTAAGAGGGGCTGGGTAGTTTAACTCAGCCAGCAGCCACCTACTGAGAGTCAGTTGAGGGCCAATCTTGGTGGAGTCAAACTGCTTGGCCCCTCAGGCCAGGCAGGCAGCCAGCAGCACCTGCCGCATCCTTCAGCTGTGTGCGCGGGAGCGGGGGTTGATAGAGCAGCCACGGGTTTTTTTTTCTGTTCCCTTAATGCAGCTGCCTGTATTTTCTCTGCAAAATGCTTACTGATATTTTCAAGGAAAGATCTGTTTCATTTCACCTTCCACAAACAAGGTGTGCATCTTATTCAGGCACGTGTGTCATGCAAGAAAATGCAGTATTTCTTTTCATCCATTTTACTGCATCCAAACAGAAGTCTCTCAACCTTACCCAACTGTAAGTTTCAGTTTTGCAGTATCTTCCAACTCTTTCCTCCAAATCACCCAGCCATGTATTATTTAAAGAAGCCATCAAGTCTTCCTCTGGGCCCCCAAGATCAGATAGACACCAAGCCATTTGTTATACCATTCCTTCTAGATGAGAGATGTAAAGCTGGCTATCAACAGCACAGAATATATAGCCTCTAGCTCCTTACCAAGTGGTTCCAGCAGCCTTGCTCACAGGCTGATGACTAAAGGCTCCTGCAGAAGAGAACCCATAGCTACTTCCTGGGTTACTGATGGGCTACTCCATTCTCACCTCCCAAATAGGTCAAGAAAATCTCAGCAGATGAACATTCAGGTCTCTGAATATCTCACCTTGTGCAGACTGCTCTCTCCTCGCACTGCTGAAGGGGCAGACAAATTTTGATGTAGCTAGGAGATCCTGCTGCATACATGGTTTGTGCTACCAATGAGCTCTTCAGGGTAAAAGTTAACATGCACAAGGTTTTCAAAGCACTGTGGAATTTGTGCAAGCAGCAAGACTTAGACATAGGTACTTGGGTGATGTCACTGGACTGCACAAGTAACAACCCCATCCCCCAACACATAACAGTCACCAAAATGACATGGGGAAAGCAACCAAAATGGCTTGCTGGTACATGTTATAGATTAAAGATGTTAAATTAAACATTTTGCTCATACTCCTGTTGTGCATGGTATTTCTCACTCTTGCTGACTGTGGAATTATGTCAGCAAATGCTAACTGCTCTGTGCAAAGACAGAGGCAGCAAACCTGTGGTATGGGTGCCACCAAGTGGCATGGACAGCCTGTATGTGGCACTCAGAAGATCAGGGAGAGGGCAAGGACCACAGAAGTAGATAGGGCAGGGAACACAGAAAATCAGGCAGGGAGGAGAAAGCACAGCAGCAGATAGGGCAAGGGAAGGGAATTAGAGTGGCACTCAGCAAGGGTGTGGTACTTAATTTGTGGGACAAAGGTTGGCCCCTACTGTGTGAATAGACAGACCCCACTTGGTATTTCACTATTTGCAACTTGGTACTTTAGAGAGGAACTGAAAGCCCCAGCTTGCCATAGGTGCATATGCTGAAGTTCACTTCATTTTTCTTTAGAGCCAATGCAATTCCATATTCCGTAAGAGGTTAAAACTGCCTTCCTCCGAGCTGAGGTACATCAAGCATACTGAGGAAGGCACATTATTACAGGACATCAGAGAAGCAGGGGGAGAGAACACTCCTACTCAGAAAACTGTAGCATTACATGCAGTACACCAGAAACAGGCAGGCAACAGAGAGTGATTTAAAAGAGAACTTAACAGTTCTAATTGGGTTTGAGGTAAAAATTGCTCTATTTGCAAGCCTAAAGTAAGACAAAATTACCCAAGAGTGGGACAGTTTCATCAATAAAGGAATCAAATGAAAGCCAAATTAGTTGTGCCATGTCTGGAACCTGATGGCCCAAGGGTTAATATGCCCACTGCAAATCCCAGAAAGGGTAGATATGGACAAAGCAGAAACAGCAGTGAGTTGTATCTACTCTTCATTAAAAAAAACTGCGCTCTCATAGTTTCTTAGTTGTTAGGGGCTGGAAGTGACCTTACAGATCATTGGGTCCAGCTTCCCTGCACGTGGGCAGGAAAGACTGCTAGGATCAAACGATCCCAGCAAGATGGGAGTCAAGACTTTTCTGAAGAACTTCTGGGGGGAGCCTGTTCCAAACACTTGGCTTGTAAAGACGTTTTTCCTTATGCCTAGCCTGAAGCGAACTTCAATCAGCTTGTACCCATTATTTCTTGTCCTTTGGACTCGAGCTTCTCCACATCCTTCTTGAAGTGTGGTGCCCAAAACTGGATGCAGTACTCCAGTTCCAGTCTCACCAAGACAGAGTAAAGCAGGAGGACAACATCCTTTGCCTTGCTCAAGATGCCTCAGTGGGTGCATGCCAGTGTTTGGTTAGCTCTGCCAGCTACAGCATTGCATTGGTGGCTCATGTTCATTCTGTTGTCAATCATGACACCCAGTTGTGGTGCTGGCAAGCAGAGCGCTGCCAAGCCTGGAAGTGTGCTGTGGGTTCTCTCTCCCCAGATGGAGCTTTCTACATTGTTCTGTATTGAATGACATCGGGTTGAAGTCTGCCCATTTCACAAGCCTGTCCAGGTTGGCCTGCATTGCCAGCCTGTCTTCGGGCATGACAACACTCCCCCATACTTTAGTATCATCAGGGAACTTTGCCAGCTTTAATACCTGAATCCAAATAGTTAATGAACATGTTGAAAAGCACTGTCCAAGTACTGACTTTTGAGGGACACCTTCACTGGTCACCTTCTTCCATGGCGACTCAGTTCTGTCAATCAGTACCCAATTTGACCATGAGGACATCATGGGAGATCAGGTCAAAGGCCTTTTTGAAGTCCAAGTATATGACATCAACCTCATTTCCTCTATCCAGGTGGCAAGTAACCTGATCATAGAAGGAAACGAGGTTGGTCGGGCACAACCTGCCCGTGACAAAGCCATGTTGGCTATCCTTCAGAACACTGTCTTCAGTTAGCCTGTGTGTGATGTTTTCTTTGATGACTTTCTCCAGGATTTCACCTGGGACTGAGGTCAAACTGATTGGCCTGTAGTTTCCTGGGACCTTCCTTCTCCCTTTCTTAAAGACAGGTACCACGCTGGCTTTTTTTCCAGTCTTCTGGGACCTCTCCCATGTGCCATGAGTCTTCAAATAACTTTGCCATCAGTCGTGCAATGATGTCAGTCAGTTCCTTTAGCACCCTTGGGTGTAGCTCTCAATACTACAGCCAGGAAAATGCAACAAAAACATGAAACTTAGGAAACAACACAGACAACCTCTGCATTAATGTTCTGGAGGGTTTGAGAATCCTTAAGTTACTGAATTGTATTGTCCAGCCACCACCCTGCCATTCAGTCTCTTCACATCCCTATTGCAACTGTAACAGTCACATGAAAGCGCCCCCTTAGTGCTGAGCCCTCCGGCTCCTGTATCACTACTCCAGCCTGATCTTTATGTATTCACAGGGCCCTGCTGCTCTACAGGCACCTAACTGCCTGAAGGTGCGTGGCCCTCCATTAGGCTGTTGCCTCAGTAACCCACAGCTATGGAGCTCTGCTTAAACCATAGTGCTCCCGGGTCAGGCTGCTTCAGCCTTAAAGGAGCAGGCACACCTTAGTGCCCTGCTACAGTGGGTATTCACATACTTCTGATGGATCAGTCTTTTTTTGTGAACCTGACAGTCTGTAGACCCCCAGGGGTCTGTGGACCACAGGTTGAAAACCTTAAGGTGTTTGGAGTGGTATGGACTGGAGAGAAAACAGCTGAGCTAGTTTTGGGGTAATCAAGTCTCTGCCAACTGGACTGGAGACAGAGGGGCTGCTTAACCCATGGGGGATGAGGTAGATGACAGTCTTTTGGCTGTGTGGCTTTTGTCCCCCATAAATGCCTTTATTGAAGAGAAGCAGTCTGCTTTTGCTGCCGGGACTTCCCTTTGAAGTGGTGAAGTTCACTGGGAGCCGAACAAGGAGAGAGTTCTCCAAGACATGGCCATGGATAGCCAGGGAAGGAGAGGGACAAAACAGCCAAGGTCTCAAGAGCTGGAAGGAACCGGGGCTTCCCCACTCTAGAGGCTGCACCTGGGCTGGCTTGTTGGGGGAGGGTACTCAGACAGACAAGATAAGGCTAGGGGTTGTGAGCAAGTGCTCCCCTGGGGGAATCCATGACACCTTCATCAAATTTCAGGGTTACAGCTTCACAATCCAGTGTCATACCCAAGCCAGACCAATCACACAGAAACAACTGTGAAGGGGCCAACCACACAGGCTGGCTATAGAGACTGACACCTCTCAGCTTCTAGTTAACTTCTACTAGAACAACATCAAATCAAGTAGGAGGAGAAGAGGTGATATCCTGTTCCCTCTATTGGGAAAAGGAGAGAGGTACCTGAATGGTGATGGTTCCCTTTCCACCATCTGTTTGCAGGTGAATCTCCATATCTGGCAAGACCTTCCCTTCAGACATCAGTTTATAACGAAGTTTTTCCAGAGCATCATTGCCATTCGAGATCAGCTCCCGGATAAACACCTGGGAAATGACATGGTCACAGGCTGCAGACTCCATCTAGCCATCAATAACCCCAACAACTGCCTGCCCCATTTGGGATGAGCTGTCAGACCAGAGGTTCTCATGCCCTAACAAGCACACAGATTCAGTGCTCTGGGTGTAAAGAGCATCATAGTTCAGTAATATTAGCCAAGAGTGCCTGTGTAGAGAACAGTCTACAACAGGGCTTGTCAAACAGGGATGTGTGTACTCCTAGGGATACATGAAAAGGTGCTAGAGAGCATGCATGGGCAGGAGGGGTCGGAGCGCTCCCACCCACCACCCCACATAGCCACCTCCCAGGAGCAAGGCCAGGGGGGCAAGGACAACAGCACCCCTCTGTGGGCCACACAAGCACCAGCCGGCCGGACATGGGTTGCGGCAGGGGGAAGGAGCCTGCACTCAGAGCCTGCCACTGCCATCCCCCACCCTGCACTGCTGCCCCCTGCCCCGCACACCAATTTCCCACAGCTGGTTATACATGCAGCTCCATGGGCTGCTGATGGATGGTGCATGTTTGGCAGGGTGCGAGGCCTGTCAGCAGCCTGTGGAGCTGCATGTGCAACTGGCCGTGGGAAAGCGGGGCACAGTGGAGTGGGTGGTGGTGGCAGCCGCGTGCACACCCTCCCCCCTGCTCCACGTCTGGCTGCCACCACCAGAAGGGGTACACTTCTTTAAAAAGGTTGAAAACCCCTGGTCTACAGTATGCCAAGTGATGTTGATTCCAGAATTCCATAGCACATTCCCAATGGAACCAGTGGGCCCACTTATGCCTCTGTTCCCGGCCACTGATGAAGCGTATAGGTAGACCCCTATCAAGAAGGAGGAACACCACCTCCCCAGCCACTGCAGTGCAAAGACATACTTCTCCCAGGAAAGGTAAACTGCCTTCTAACAATCACTGTGTTTAAAATGCTGCATTAAAAACAAGAGGAGAAAAATGACTGGTGATAAAAAGGGGGAGGTTCTCCACACACTATTACTAGGGCTCCAGAGGTCTTGACTGCTTTAACGCCATCATGCTGGAACTCGAGAAAGAGTGCAGCAAGCAACCAACTCTTTTTCTCTTTTGACGCTGTGTAGGTTGGCTTGTCTAAAATGTGTTGCTAGAACAGACAGTTGCCACAGCCAGAATAGACCCACAGTCATCTGCATGTATTTACACGTGAAATTAGAAATGCATTCTAAGAGACTTCAGTGGAAGCTGGGCACTTGCTCGGACTGGCTTTCCAGCAAATCCCAAGCATGCATTCCCACTGCAAGGACGGTGTCTGATGCTGCCACAAAAATCACACAAATGAGCCTTCACAAAATGGGAAATTCACCAGCTCCAGAATGATTAGCATGTGCCCTACCTCTTTCTCAGAGTACAAGGAACGAGCAACAATGTCCAACAGCTTCTTTGTCTCAGCCTGGAACTCATGTTTGGAGGCTGCACCTAGAATTAATCACAAACACATCCCAGGGTATTTCACTGGAGTTCCATCATAAAGGACACAGCCCCTCCCAGTACACATCACCCTCCCAGGGCCTCTGTCTGCGTAGGGATGTGGGCAGCCATGGCTTCGGCTGCAACTACAACAAAGGTGCCAAATGTTTCCAAATAGGAGATAAGTGTCTGCCAAGTGGGCATCCTACCTCCAGGCTTAGACCTGAATCACTGCACACAAACTGCAGAGTAGCCAGCAGATGATGTGTGATGCAAGCCTTGATCCCTGCCTGTCTGTGTTAGAGCTGAAACAGCAATTTAGCCATGAAAGACAATGTCTCACATCCAAGCCCTGGAGCCATCAAATCCCCAAGTGCCACAGCTTTCTTTATGGCTCATCCCCTGTACCCTGTCCCTCTAAATTTTATTGCCCTGTGCCCTACCAGACAGGAGTCCTCAGTGCTGTACCAAGTCAGAGCAAAGAAAGTTCCCAGAGCACAAAGGAACTATCTGCACACACCACAACCCAAGGACTTTCACAAGCACGCTACACTCCTAGCTTCAAAACTGTGGCATAGAGTAGGTGTGTCAAAGTTATGGCCTGCAAAACTCCCTTATCCATTCCCCAGTGATACTCCTGGGTCTCATAGTTGACCCACTCCAGGATGTGAGCCACATGTCACATGGGTTGTGAACCAACTAGGGAATATGCTGGATCCAGGAGGCTGGGGTGGGGGTGGTGCTTCCTAGGCCCAATGTAGCCATACCATTTATTCAGCCAGGAGGACCAGATGAGTTTGATGCAGAGTAACCAAAGCATTATGCAGCTCTTAGCTAGGGGCTCCACATGCAGCTATTCTTGAACTAACCCACCAGAATGGCTATAGCAAAAGGAGATAAGGCATTTCAAGAACAATGCTTCCACCAAGAGATTCTCTTTGGGCCTCTTAAGGCCTGACTTAGGGCCCTTCCAGCATTAGAGAATTCCAAAGACCCTGAGCAGCAGATTTGTGTCCCATCACATGCATCAGAGCCCAGACAACAAAGTGATAGGCATTGAGGACTGAATCCATTAAGAGTTTTGTAGTCCTATATCCTCACAAACAGCATAGAAAAGACCATGAAATGCCAAGTTAAGGCAAGCTAAGGTACTATATAGCGCTCAGACAACTCCCTTTGCTTTAAGACAACTCTCCTTGGACACAGACAAAGCAGTTAGCTCCAACAGGCATGACAAAATCATTCCAATGTGATCTCTGTCATCAAGAGAAATGAGCTGGTCTTGCACAGTCCACTTTTTTTTTTTTTAAACAGCAAGTGTAAAACATGAAGCCATTTTGGAATCCAGACGTGTGCGCCCACGTACACGCAGTCTACCCAGCACATCATACTGTAAGTTCCTGCCATGGTGAAACTGGAAATCTGCACATATCATTCCTGAGAGGTTTTGCTCCCCAACAGGTTCTCACACTATGGGGGACACCAAAAAGGCAGAAGTCTGAATGTGTTCTTCCTTATGTTTTTCACTCTGTAAGTAACTGTGTAACTGGAGGATCCCTTGTGTTAGTTTGGGCGATTTTATTTTTTGTTAGGACACCTGAAGATCTTGGTCATGAAACCCCAAGCCTTTATCTGTACCACATCAACAATAGCTTATTTCACCTAAATCTTGAAAAGGAACAAATGGTCTGCCCCAAAGACCATCCTGACTGCAACATCCTTCAGTTCTGAAACCAGTTAGAAGTGTCAAGTAAACATGCTACTTATCCTTTTTATGGCTATAGGGGTACAAATCAATCTGTCACCAGATGAAGAGATGACAGACAGCTGCATCTCTCCTTCAGAGGCAGGGGTTGCTCCTGGGTGACTGCTCCAGGCTCCCACAGAACACTCACCCTCCCATGCAGAACACACAGAGGACAGTTTTCATTGCATCTGTTCTGCCCAGACTCCACAAAACTTCCCTATAAAGATACCCCTTGCCCATGCTAACCTTTCACATTCTCTGTATTGCTGATGATGGTGTGCAAGGACTCTTCATCTTTGTTCTCAGCAGCCTGTGTGCTATAATTCCGCCCAGTGAGAACAGCGAGGGCAGCCAGGTTGTGTCGGGGCCTTGGGAAATTGAGTGCTGCTCTCTGCAAAAAGGTGGTCTCTCTTCCTGGAAGATGCAATTCAAGAGGTGTTAGTGCAAATGACAAATACAAGTGACAGAAAGGCTTACATCTGACCTGAGTGATAGTTCTCAAGAGAAGAAAGCACTTTGCTGTATTTCACAAGTTACAGGGTGAACTTAAGACAACATTAACTCTGGTGAAAAAGTAAACTACCACAACTTCACCAGGATTTTAAATCAAGCTAAGAACACACCTTTTGTCATGTGAAAAGAATATCCCACAGGGACTACCCAGAACCACCTACTAGATCTCACTGATCAGCACATTGATTCATTCCAAACCACTGCTCTCTGTAAGTACCTTTTAATCCTGCCCATTCCTTACCCAAAAGAAATTCCATTCCCAATTTAGCCTTCATGTTTAAACATTTAAGTTAATTTATTGCAGCTGAAAAGTCACCCCTTAAGATTCTGCATTTAATTAATAGGCAGAGAGGTTCCAGAATGACCAGCACATGCCCCTCTTATCAGTTGGGTCAGGGATATCCATCACTCTGGGATACCACGTACAGTAGACTGAAAGCAAGCACTGCTTTCTGAGTGACCAACATTATGAGGTACCAGATATGCCCCCATTCAAGTGCTGCTTTGGTCTCGACCTACTTAGCTCATATACTCTGACAGGAACGCAGCCCAGGCTGGTACAAATAAAGGAAAGAGTTGACAGCCATTCTGTACTGGGAACAGCCACCCCCCAATCACCTGAATTCAGGCTCTATCCCCATTCCCACCTTCCCCATATTTCCACCCCAACAAGCTCTGCAGCCCAAATGACATTTGAAGACACCACCTGGAAAACACTTGAGTGGGATGCAGACCACATCACCCAAACCTAGACCATCCAGCCTCCTCCTCGGATATGGCTGCTAACAGATCATCAGGGACTTTCCAGTACATAAGCTGAACTGCTCAGAAACACTGCAGCCACATACACCACAATAAATCTAAGAACTTGAGTCTGCTGACATTGACCTCCTTTGTACTAAGATTTTCTGTATCACATCTCTTCCACATGCCTCCAAGGGGGAAACCACAGACCACAGTGACAGCCTACAAAGCAGCAGCATCTAGATATGTGACAATCAGGAGCCACAGAGGAAAGCTGGGGCTGTTAAGGATATGCAGTGCAGGGGGATCCAAGGAGGGAGCTTTTCCCTCAGCTCTTGAAACTCATGGGTAGTCTCATTAATTGAAGAACAAGTCAGTTGCTCTGGGTTTGATAAGGCGGTTGCATTAAAACAGTGGTGCTCAGCCTTTTGGCCCTGCAGGCTGGACAAATGGTGCAAGGCTGGTCCACAGGTCAGATCCCTCACAGGGTCAGCACATGGACTGGGCCTATGATGTTCCAGCCAGACCACTCACTGCCCTGACACACTGGGCAGAAACATGCCAGCAAAGGAGTGGCAATGAACTGGCACCATGCCCCTGCCACCAAATTTCTGGACTTTTGGGGAGCCTGTCAGACCAGATAACATGGCTCCAAAGGCTAAATCTGGCCTGTGGGCAGAGCACCCCTGCACTAAAGCAAAAGCAGTAGCAGTTAATGCTAGAGATGTAAAATTTCCAGAAATTTTTAAACCACGGAAAAATGGAAATTTTGGGGAAAATTGAAATATATGCAATACTTATTTTCTTAGCACTGTTTACATATCTAAATTCACTTTGCTATTTTAAGAACATAAAATGTATTACATATAACTTGGTTTCCTCATAAAATTATCATGTTTGGTATATTTATTAGATTTAAAAGTATAGTTTATTCAGATAATAATTACAAATTTAGTAATTGAATTTACTTTCAAATGTTTTAATTTTTTGTTACAAATGGAGCTACAAGCTGCTGAACTCTAACATCTCTTAGTTTTTGCCAGTTTATGAGAAGCAGGCAAAAATTAAAGTTGAAAATCAACATGGAAGTTATTATGTATTCTGGACTTAGTCTCCTCCAGTGTCAAGCAGATACAGAAAGTACTCATTTTTAGAAAAAGAGCTGAGAAAAAAGGGGAAAAAAACCCCCAACTCATTGAATACAAATTTTGCTACGTGAAACTTTGTCTAATCAGTCTCATTTTCTGAGCTATCACTATCAGCAGTTTCTGCTTCTTCTGATACTTTATCATCTTCATGAACTTCTGAAAACTGAAGGTTTGCCTGGATTGAGACAAACTTCATTACTCTTTCACACAAGTTTATTTCTTGACTTGGTGTGAGTATTTCCAAACACAGACCAGTTTCTTTCACATGCTGCAGAAGATGGAGGAATCTGAAGCAGGCGAGAAGCAAGAGGAGTCAAAGGCTGTGTCGTACAAAGCCTTTGCCATCATGTTGCTGGAGGGATATGCTTGGCAGAGTTCTAGACTGCATTCCTGGACCAGATACCTGAAGACGTTCTGTATTCTGCAACTTCAGAAAGTACGTTGCTGTGAGGTTTTCACCTACTGCCCTGTCTAGGGCCTCCTGCAGTATATTCTGACTCTCGCCTGCCACGTCTGGATTAATTTCGATATTATTAGTTGGGAGGCGTTATTGCTGCAGTAGGACACTGGCAATCTATCTAGATTCTTATCTATGCTATGCTCTCTCCTTTGGCTCTCTCAGACAACACCCATGATTTCTATCATCAACTGAATCCAAGTCTTATGTGTGTTGAACAATTATTATTATTTTTATTTTTTTTTTTTAACATCCACAACCAGTTCATAGACAAATGGATTGCAGCTATTTCAGTTTGTTTTATATACTTTTAATTGTCCCCTTGGAAACCATTTTTTGGTAGAATCTTATCTTTATATTGTTGTATATTACTTAAGACAACTACTGAACCATTTTTAACATAACAGGAAATTTTACTTTGTTTCTTTTCTTCTTCTTTGATGAGATCTTGTCTCACTATGCCCTTCAGGGCACTCCCATTTCTTTTCCGTAAGGGTGGGGAAGTAGCCATGAGTCAGGCTCGCTCTTCCCTCAAGCACTCCTGGAGCACAGTTAGTCTCTATTAATGTCAAATGAAAAGAAAAAAATGAACTCAGCTTTTGTTGCGCCCAAGGAGCATCCACGGCTCCTCCCTTATCACGGTTTCTCCCGACGTTCTTCTCTTCCTTGGGACGATCTGAGAGTCAACTTACGTCTCCAGGGACTCCCAGCTTACTCCTCCAGTCATGCCCTCTCCATATGCAGGACCGGTTCCTGAGATTCTGCCGTCCCAGTAGTATTCCATGGTTTCTCTCCCTTGGAGCCTTCTTTCGCTCTTCTCCCTTCCAGTGTGCCATACCGTCCCACGCCGGGCTTTTCAATCCTCAAGGAACAGTTGCTCTGGAAACGGCATTCTCCCCGCTCGATCTCTTTCC